TCCCTCCCCTGCTCATGCTCTGTCTCTGTCTCAAAAATAAAATATAAAAACATTAAAAAAAATTTTTTTTAATAATTAATTAATTAAATAAAATCCAACTTCCCCAAGTGGCCTCCTAGGCCCAATGGGCCTTGGCTCCTTCCCACTCTCCTTGCCCCCTCCTCTCCCAACTCACCCCTCTTGGCCCTCTAAACATCAGAGAGGCCCTGACACCCAAGTTGAACCAGGTGCCCTCTGTGGCTCTCCTTCCTGGCACCCTGCTCTCCACTGGAGTTCTGACCCCCTCTTGGAATTATATGGTCTGTGTGTTTAATGCTGGCAGACTACAGACTCCCTCGGGACTGCTCTACACCCCCAGCACAGCACCTCAATTAAATGTTTACTGAACGTGGAAGTTAGAGGAAGAGGAGATTAACAGCCCCCTGATCTGACCCTGTCCAAGAGGGCCATCAGATGACAGAGAGAACGAAGAAAGAGGTCAAGAGTGGGTAGGTATGACAGCCATCTGGAGGCCAGAAGGATACGGTTCTGGAAAAGCCCTGTTCTTCCTGGGCTGGGAAGCCAGTCAGCTTCCTATCCACACCAGAAGGCAAAGCCCAAAGGCCCACCCCCAGTCCTTATCAATCCTGTCTGGTGGGCAAGGCAAAAAGAGCTGAGAGGCAACAGAGAAACGCACATTTTCTTTCCTTCTCCCACCTCACTATGCTGGAACCCAACACCGTGTCTGTGGTGAGATTCTGGCTGGAGTCCCAAGAACCTTTCAACAGGTTCAGGCAAATTTTCTTTAGAGAACAAACTAAATCAAAGGTCCTAAAAGCAACCAAAAGCTGACAAATTTGCATCTCAATCAGATGTAGACCAGTATGTTTTTCACAGTCTAATTCAATAAATGGCCCAAAGGCTTCTGTGTAGTTCAGCCACCTACCAAGTTTGAAAATATTAGGCCTAAGCAGAAACCTTGACCCTAAATCCTCCAGACACTCCCAGTTAGGCATGGAGGAGACTCCTGGCCCCCAAAGGCAACAGGCTGCTTGGACTCCAAGAAGCAAGGAGCAGCGAGGCCAGAGATAAGCTAAGTGGAACCGGCAGGCCTGTCCGTCAAGGATGCTGGGTCAGCAGGTTTGCCAGGTAGTCAGAAAAAACAAAATCAAAGGCAGGAGCAAAGGCACGGGATAAGAAGTTGATGTTCAACCTACAACCTGACCCTTCACCTTCACTTTGCTTTATAGAAGGGACGGGTCAAGCTTCTCTAGGGCTTAAACACCAACTCAGCACTGTGTCGGCACAATCTCCAGGACTCCTCCCATTTTAACGAAGGAAGAAGCCAAGGTCGAGGCAGGAATGAAATGACCAGCCTCGATGCTGCCAATACCATAAAATAATTAAGCAGTGGACAATCTGGGGGATAAAACCCTAGAATCGGACCTTCCACAAGAGGTCCAAAAAAAAAAAAAAAAATCGACCACAACAGTCCCTCAGTCTGGACGAGATGCTAAAAGCTTCATCTGGGGATGATGATGTTTCTTGCTGTTCTTAAAACCCTCGCTGTACCTTGAAAGAATCCATCAAAGAGGCAAGCAGGAAGGGTCATGATCTAAAGCAGGAGGGCGGGGAAGGAGCCAAACACTCCAACCTGCTCCTTCCAGATAGTCCTTAATCTGCTAACATCTCTTGGGCAAAGCAGAAAGCTCGTTCAAGGAACAAGGTCTGAATGACTCTCCCATCTCCCAAGATTTCTTGCTGATGTGGGGAAAGTTCTGCCAAGAACCTTTAGGCTATTGGAAATATTTCTGAGTAGCTAAAGGCTAAAGGTTATAAATGACATACTCTCTGTCCTCTCTCCCAGGTGGCCTCTACATCTCCTCCATTTCTCCTGCTCTAAACTTGTCCCGCAAAGCTTGCCTAGAGACTGAAACACTTGGGGATCTCTTGGGACTGTCAGGAGAGGGAAACAAGGAGGATTCTACATGGGGTTCCAGGCAGCGTGAGCTGGTCCAAAGTTTTCTCTCCCCCTCAATTTAGAACTCTAGGAAGAAAAGGCATGCCAGCGGTGTGATTCAGAGGGACAGACTTAAGCTATTTCCCTCTAAGGGGACTCGCACAGGGGTTGGCTGACAAAGGAACTGGGAAGAGATATTCCAGAGTTCAACTATTAGATAGCCCCTGTTGGGGACAACAGGAGGGCAGAGGGAAACATTTCCTATCAAGGTTACCTAAGAAAGGGGATGCAGGGTAGAGGTGGGGACTTGGGTCCCACTTCTTGGCTTAATCTACTGGCCTATAGCAATTAGGATCCTTAAACAGGGTCAGGGGGCATGTGAGGGTAGGAGTGGGGGTTACACTCCTTGTAGACAAGCATCCTCAACCTGCGTTCAGCAACACCAATGATGCAGCAAAGGGAGAGGACAGAACTAGTGTTATTTCCTTAAATACTCCCCTTGCCTTCCCCTACCATGATAGGCAGATAGAAGGCCACAGAGACATTCTCATGGCCTGTGGGAGAAATGTCCTTTGGAAAATCATAAAGCAGCAAAAACAGACAAGAAATTGTAGCTGACATGCCCTTAAGAGACTCCATAATGGCCTAAAAAACATCTAGATTCTAGACGAAACTTCGATGGGGTGGAGGCCAAGCCACTTCCTCTCTCTCTTGCTGCACCCCAACCATTGAGTCAGGAGTTCCTCTTTCTCACAGTCAGAGAGCAACATATTTAGTTCAAGTCAAGTGATACGCCAGACACCAGGAGGAGAGAAATCCAGCAAGGTTCCTAGGTGGCAGAAAGAACATCCCGGACCTGGAGGTTCTGGAACTACCAGAGTCCTCAACTGTGTGGCCTTGGACAAGTCAGCAGATCTGTCTGAGCCTCAGTTTCTTCACCCACAAAACAGGGACAATGATATGTACCCAGCTGAGCTGGCTGACGATCAAATGGGGCTTTTGCTAAATGGGAGGCGCTGCGCAGCGAGGCGGTATTGCGGGCCGGGTCCTCACTGCCATCTCGCCCTCTCCCAAAGCTCCCACTCCGGGAACCACCCCGAGCCCGAGACGCCCGTCTCACCTGGCTCAGTACACAGGTATGAGTAGAAGCCCTCCGACTTGAGCATGATGAGCAGCGAGCCCCAGCCCAGGAGGACTGCCGAGAAGAGGAGGTTTTCCAACACGGCTGTGCAGGCCATCCACCAGCGGCGCCGATGGGCAGTGGCCAAGGTGGGCGCCATGGCGCGGCGCGGCGGCCCTGCTCCGGCTCTGCAGCCACCTGCACACAGACCCCAGTCAGCGTCAGCGCCCGGCCCTGCCCAGCCTGTGTGGCCAACCCGGGCCGCTGCCGCAGCGCGCGCAGCTTGTCACCCCTCCGTGGCCCGGACCGTGGGTGCGCACAGCGAAGGAAGCCCCAGCCCTGCCTGGGTCCCAGGCCAACCTGTCCGCGGCTGGCTCGTACGTCTGCCCTCAGCTACGGGACAGCGGCCCCGGCCAGGCAGGGAGACCTCTCCCTTGGCTCATCCCGAGGAAACCTGAAGCATGAAAACAGGAGGGACTAACGCATGCTCAGGGACGTGGAATTAATCCTGGCTCTCCGCAGGACTGACATAGCTTGGGGACTGTCAGGGGAGGCACCTTCAGGTCCGGATACCTGGGCAGGGCCATACCTGAGGACTGCCACTCCCTGGGACCCTGACAGGAGCCCTCCCGCCCGCACTCGAGACCCTTCCCCAGAGCTGGTTCCTTCAACCACAAGATCAGCGCAGGGAATCCGGAACGGCCCGCCCCCGGCCCGCTCATAGGCTGGACGGCTAGGAACTGCTGCGCCATTGGCCGCTGTCTAGGTCGCTAGGCGCTGCGGCCACGCGAACCCCGCATGGGAGAGGCGAAGCCGGTTCAAACCGGCGGCGCGAGCCACCTGCACGACCCCCATTCCGGCTGCTTCCGCGCCATTTAGTCTGTTCCCATGGAAGCGGACCCCCCCGTCCCTCCATCTCCGAGCTGCCTCCTCCATTCGTCATCTCTTCCCTGGCAGACCTTCATCCAATCTGTTTCCTCTCATAGTTATACATCTTCTCCCTATGCCCCTATTCGTGCGCCTTCTGTCCCCGTAGCACCTTTTCCCAGATCCCCAAGACCCAGCTCACCCGGCTTCTACTAGCGTGTATCGGGCCCGGCCGGCGCCTTTTCTGCCTCCTTTTATTCCAGAGCTTTTATTTCGACCCCAAGACGAAAACACTGTCGCACGCTGATTGGCTGAGTGGGGGCTGGAAACAGGCATTGGCCAATCAGCAGCTACCCGCCCGCCCGGCGGCGAGCAGAAGCCGGTTCCGGCCGGACTTGAGAGACAAACAAGAGAGCTGGGG